TTGCTACTTAGAATGATTTTTTATTGTTTGTGTAATTCTCTCAGAAGCTTTTTTTCCACTTCACGCAACTCACACACGCTTGAATAATATTGTTGCTGATATGTGGCATTTGAATTTCAAGTGGCAGGCGACAATGCTGCCAGAGAATATGTCCAAAGAATGTGTGTAGCGCCGTGTAGCAAAAACAAAAAGTAAAAAAAAAAATAACAACAGCAATATTGCCTGGCCAGCCGACGACCGGTGGCGGTGAGGCATTCGTTTGGAAAATTTGTGTTACATTCTTTGCAAACTTGTCTTGGCGTCAGTCACTGTCGACGTGGTATCTTCATATGCACACAAGCACACATGCACATCTGTATATTCATATTTCTTTTTTTTTTTTTGTTTTTTGTCTTCATACCTGTATTAAAATGAGTTTGCTGCTGGCGCGTGTTTCGCCAGACGTGTGCTCTATGAGTAATTCGTTATTTGTCAAAATGCAATGCGGCGGTGTGATGCACATATAAGACATACAGACATATCAGCATCCAAAGGCACACACAGAACAAATAGTGATAAATAGCAATTGACTCTTATTAAGCAATGAGCTCGATTAAAAGTTGGCTTCAGTCACTTAAAATTTTTTTGTTTTTTAGTTGTGTAAATTTCGACTTAAAAATATTGTTAATCAAGTATGATATTTTATAATAGGAGTTGAGCTTTACATAATTTTTTATTGATCAAAAAAGTGATCAAAAGACGTACCATAGCTAGGGCAAAAACAAAAACAAAAATTAATTTTCAAAATCTAAAAATCTGTGAAAAAGCTAAGCTTAATACATAGAGTATGTTAGGTTGTATATAACTGTAAAAAATAGTCGACATAAATAGTTGTGGGCATATACAATAACTCAATTAAGAACTGAGATCTTTTGACGAAACTTGGTTCACACATACTTTCCACGCCCACACTTCATATAACGATCGCAATGTGAATGCAATCTGGCAACAACTATATATTATGGCCCCAACCTTTTACCCTCTCCAATAGCTGAACTCAAGATCGAGTATTTAAAGCATTAATCTATTAAGCCTTACTAAACATGGAAGGTATGATCCGGTTCATGGAACTATATTCTACAAAACATTCTTCTATTTTGAAGTACGCTGTGGACTTAGGTTCCGATATTTAAGGAATTTTTCGAAGAGACTTCACCATACTTGACGGATATGATAGTTGTAGCGAGTTCCAAGTAACTGTCTAAAAATACTGGCATAGGTTCACAAAAAACACTACCTCGCGTGTAACTAATATTTTGTCCTCATTTGAAGAGTACTCAAAAACGAGCTAAGGTATGTTACGTCAAATATGCTATAACAAGACTTATTAAATTTGTTTGTTGAACAACAAAATTTTGCTTTCATTTCATGATCACTTCTTATTTTTTTAGAAAGCCATATGAGCTGTACTCCTACTAAGTCCTATATCTCTCGGTTTTGCATTGAAAACTATATAAGGGTATTTTTGGAATTTTTTTTTTTTTTATAATCTGTAAACGTTAGACACCAACTTGGTTTTTGAATTGCTTCGAAAGTTGAGTAGAGTAGTAATTATTCTATCTATCTGTTAATTTTTAGTCTAATCTACGATTTCTTTTAAAAGGTTTTTAAGCCCATAATGTTTTATGGGCTCTAATGTTTTATATTTATAAACCATAAAAAACATTACATAGACAAAACCATGTCAATTAACTTTCTTGGCTTGAAATTTCTGTGCATTATATTTCACAACTTCTCTACGATAAAGGCGAAAACGCAAGTCAGGCAGCTGAAATTGGGAAAAGTGTTTACGGTTCTTATACTGGGCAATTTCGGTTATGCGAATTTCGTTTCGGTAATTTTGATGTCATAGATACTCAACAGTGTGGAAAGATAATTGTCGAAAATCGCCTAGTCTGACCACCATGTGATATTTTTTTCGATTGCCCAGTAACTAAATGTTGCACAAAAACAATTTGGAACTGCTTCAAAAATGCTGAATACACAAATAAGCTCGATGTATGGTTGACAGATGAGCTAACGTGAAAAAACCGCATAAATAGAATTTCCATCAGTGAGCCACTGCTAAATAATAACGAAATCCACAAATTTATCGAATGGGTTATGACTGATCAGGAAGAGTGGATCACTCGCTGTAACATCAAATGAAAACGATCGCAATTGAAGCAATCAGAACGTATGAAGGAGGCATTCGTTCAGAAACGCCCAGCCTTGTCCGCCCTTAGACCACACACGGCTTTGTTGAAAGGTTCTTGTGCATCAATCTTGTAGTTCGGACCTCCAACCAAGCGCTCATCGTCTGTTAATGTCTATGTCAAATTATTTGACTGTCAAAGAATAGACTTCAAGAGAAGCCTTTAGAAATCGATTGACAATAGGGATAAGCATTAATATGAGAGAGGTATAATAACATTATCTAAAAAATGGCAAAAAGTTGTCGAGCAAAGTAGTGCTGGTCTGACATAAATCGGATACTTCTAACAACGATTAATGAGGCCTTCAATGTTATGAACTAATAATGTTTTAGTTTTACTAGACCAATATTTATCGAAACTAATGGGAATTCTGGTATTTCAATTTTTAAACTGCTTAAAGAAAATATTAATAATTATTTTAAATTAATATTTTATATGTACGCCTTCGAATTCTTTGGCCAGTTTTTTTCCGCATACTTTATGCTCTTATATTTCCCACTTAATTATCAACTGCGCAACGAGCAAACAATTTATTAATGTAAAAATGAGAGGCATATTTATTTACTGCCTACACTTTTATTTACATAGTCAAACAACATATACATATATGTATAAACATTAAACATTTCCATGTTTACATAATATTGCAAATTAACCATAACTGAGATTTTAATAAATAAAAATGTATATATGAAAAGTCGACTGGATATCATGCAGTAAATGATGTGTGAATGACAGAAAACAATTAAGTAAGAACAAATAATAATAATAAAAATCGAAAAAATCACCAAACTGAACGAAAGATGAACGAAACTAATGAGTATGAGTGTGTAAAAATGGCAGTAAAAACTCTTTTTCAATTAAATCGAAGCATAAAAATGTGTAACGTGCTCATTAAAGCCACGTTAAAGCTGTGCATGAGGGAAAACATTTCTTAAAGGAGGAGGCAAGATGGCGGAAATAATAGGCAGATTTGAGCCACGGGCAGCAAGCGTACATTTAGTAGTTGCCTCCTCTTGATGGAGTTGCCTAGATGAGTGGACTAACATATTCTATCGAACCACAGCATCATCTCCATCTCCACTCCTTGGCTGCCCACTTGGTTGTATACGCCGCAGGAATTGGTTGTGGCCACATTTTCGCCAGCAATAAACCACCCGTTGTGCGATTTTTTCACGCACGAGCTTCTTGGCGGCCACTGTGTCGCCACAGCGTGGCGGCTAGAAATATCATAGCGAAGGCTGGACAAGCTCAGCGCTGCACATGGCAATGAGTTTGGTAAATAGTTGACAATAAATCAATGAACGGAAATGAGATTTTTTCTTTGCATATCGACTTTTAAAAAACTATATCTTTAACCACTGTTGCTCTTCGATCGTTTTTAATTGTTTTGGGTTTTAATGCTGGAAGTCACAGTCAGAATTTAAATATAATTTTTTTTTTCAGATTTATTTTAGAATTTATTTTTTTATTCTTTTATTGAGAGTTCATTGCGTGGTTGAATAAGATACGAAATATTAAATTTCATTTCTTAAAAACAAAAAGGAAATATAAGATATCAGGAGAGAACATCATTTCATTTCTTTGTACGAAAGTTTCAAATTTTTAATAATACATACTCACTGCCTACACCACTGTGCCATATGCCAAACAGAGGCGTGCATTGCTGCCACTTTAAGTTGGCGTAAAGCATTTTGCATTGAGGCAAACAAACTCCTCGCCAGCCTTAATTTTTCCGTTCGTTCATTCTCCTCAGCTACGCTTCAATGTCAATTAATTACGCACCGCTATGATGCAGCTGTATGGCTGTGTTGCAGCACCCACTGTGCGGCTAAACTATTTGGTGGCATGATTGGTTTCCTGTTGATTGGATTGGCAGCAAGGCACAGCAAGAAGCAAAAAAAAAAAAAAAAAAAAAAGAGACGCATTGAGCAGAGTAGCACCATAATAGTTGTGTATGAAACAAGCGTTGAAGAACGAGGAAGCTTCATTCTACCAACAACGCAGCAGCACATGAGAATGCATAAGGAAGCTGTGCCGCCGTTGCTTGCTTTTGTAGCTGCGCCAGGTTGCGCGATGCTTCATGCTGCGTGCTATTTTCAGATATCTCGCACGCTTCTTTCACCGTATCCTGCTGCTGTTGCATGTGGCAGACACACCGCGGCGGCAAAGTATCGGGAAAGAGTTAAAATTAATGTGCATGCGTTGCTGATTTTATTCTTTCTTAGTCTTTGACGTCCGTGCCGCTCTCCTTGCCGCCACTAATGTCAGGTAAATTTTTTTACTGTTCTTTAGTTGGAAATGTTGTTGAACACACCTTTAACTGCGGTCATTGAACTTTTAGGTTGGTAGTCACAAGAAGTCAGAAGTTCAGGAATCTCAATTTTTGATTTATTGCATAATCGGAAACGACGTTTTGTATAAATTGCGAAAAGGACAGCCTAACCTGGTTAAAGCTTAATGTCCGATCGTAGTGATCTGGTAATCTGAACTTTGGGAATCCTATAAGCAGCCCCGATTTATTTTTTCCCGATGATACTAAGTCAAAAGTGCAAACCTCAGTGGAGGAAAACGTTCGAAAATTTCTAAATATTTCTTTCGCTTCCGGAGTTCCCCCCCCCATCATATTAGAGAAATCGCATGATAGAGAGTCACGTGTCTAANTTCTCTAATCATTTTTCTTTAATATAAAATAAATATTAAACATAATATTAAATATGAATTTCATAAAATCTAAGTTATAAATAATTTTTCTTCAATACTCACCAACATCGAAGCTGTACGTCATCGGCACCATCTGTAACGCCAATGTGCACAGTAGAGCAAATTGTAGTAATCGATAGTGATAGCTGTGGGATGAAAGGCACTGTTGGGAGAACATTTTGCGGGCTGTTTTCTGGTTGTTGTTACGCGGGTGTGAGTTGTGAAAATGTGATTGTTGGTTTTTGGGGTTGTGGTGGTGGAGTTGTTCGTCTTGGCGAAACGTTAAATTACGGCTACTCATTGTGTTTACAGTTGTGGTAGAAGTAGTAGTTGTATTGCTTGCAGTTGTAGCAGTAAGCATTTTAATTTTATTAAATTTTTTTTTCGAGTGAGCTTAAATTGTATAAGAATTTCTTTAAAATTTCATATAGATAATTGTTCAACACAGTGTTTATTTACGTTTAGCCTTTTTACTAATACTAATGTTTTGCTATGTTCGTTGCAAAAATTCTAAAGTGAAATGAAATTCAGGCAGTGACGCTTGTAGGTGAGTTCTGCAAAGAGAAAATAAAAGAGAGAAAATTTTGGTTAGTTAAATCGTTTGACATATTATTTTAGTTATTTAAACGATTTGTTAAATTAAAATGACAGATGAATTTATTTGTGTATATAATACAAAATTTTTTTATATACAATTGGCGGTGTGCTTTATTTGAGAAAAAGCGCACATGTAGATATTACTAATCAAGATTTGAAACCCATTAAATTTCGATGGTCCAAATACCTCAATTTAATTATATAAATCAATTCAATTAGATTTTATTTTGTTTCAATTTAATTTTTTGGCTTATTTTATGATATTTTACTTCATTTTATTCTTTTTAAATTTATGTTGCATTACTTTCATTCATTTCATTTTATTTCATTTTAATAATTTTTTCTAATTTTGTTTTATTTATTTTATTGTACTTCATTTTATTTTAGTGTATTTTATTTTTTTCTATTATTGTATTTTATTTATTTTATTTTAATTATTTTATTTAATATTACATCATTTTTTGTTTTATTTTATTTTACTGGATTTATTTTATAGGACTCAATTTAATATTAGTGTATTTTATTTTATTTATTTCATATTACTTTATTTTATTTTACTTTATTTTATTTAATTCAAATTAATTCAATTTTATTTTATTTAATATAATTTAAATTTAACTCAATTTTGTTTTATGGAATTTTTTTTTTTTTTTATTTTATTTAAATTAATTTAATTCAGTTTTATTTAATTTAATTTTTTTATTCGAATTTATATTGTTTAGTTTATTTTATTTTATTTTATATCACTTTGAGTTGTTTTATTTTATTTTATTTCATTTATTTTCTTAGTTTTTTTTATTTTATTTTATTTTGTTTTATTATACTTCATTTTATTTTATTTTATTTATATTTTTTTTTTTAACTAATTTTATTTTGTTTCATTTTACTCTAGTTTATTTTACTTTATTTTTCTTTTTATCACTTCTCTTCTATTTGAAATTCTTTTGGCTCTATTCTAATTGCAATTTAAATTTTTTTTATTTTTTTTTTGAAGGCTTATCAAAATTAAAGATCATTAAAGCACAATTTTTTCTTCTGCTTTCCTTCTCTAAGTACCTTATTTTCTATTATTTTTTGTATTTATTTTTTACACATTTCCTCAACATTTTTCGCCCAAAACAGCTTTTTAGCCTATTTTCATTTACCTTTTTATTAAACATTCTATTTCCTCCAAGCTAAGCTCCTTCTTTTCTGAGATTTTTTTGTGTAAGGTTTCTGATTTCATTTTCATTGTTTTCTTTTTACAAATGCAGTAGTGGAGCATAGCGTTCACATTTAGCTTCAATTTCTGTATATATAAACATAGAATGATATGTTCGCATGTGACTTATTAAGGATGTTCAAAAGAGCAATATGTTAGAAAATTAATAAATAAATAAGCTAAGCCGCTGCCTAAAAAATACCAGATTTATGGTTTTTCAGAAATCGCCAATTGAAATTCAAATGAATTATAATTAAAAATTCTCCTAAAAATTATTTGATTGAAGTGGTGAGTTTTTTTATATTTTTTATTATATAAAAATAGTGGAAAGAATAAAAATTAGACAAATATATTAAAAAAAAAACTAATTAAACGTTGATATTAATTATCAGATAATATTAAAAATTTTAATTTTTTTGCTTTTAAATTTTGGTCTACCCTAGTATTTAGGCATGCATTTAAATGGGACAGCGTGCTGGTCAAATGATGATGATGTCGCTAACGCTGTACCGGCTAACTGTCAGCCACACCTGACCGACTCTGAACTGACTCACCGAGTAATGCTGGCAGACTGCACAGCCTACTTGCTACTTGCAACAAACTGCTTGAAGCAGCGCTATGGCAGCTAACATAGGTAAGCAAGCGGACAGCAGTGCAAGCCATTCATACAACACTCAAAGCAGAAATGACTTGAAATGGCAACAAACGAGGTTAGCTGCTTTTTTAGTTGTTTGCTTTTCGGCAGCCAACAACTTGCACCACTTTTCTTCCTCTACACCTGATTTCTATAGGCATGTTTACTTTGGCTGTATATTTATTAAAAGTGCAACAGTAGCAGCAGCAGCGGTAAAAAAATTAAAAAAAAATTTCTTCCACTGAAAAGGAGAACAGAGCCAAACAAAAACTTTCAGCCACCAAACATGCGCGAGCAAGGCGACTAAGTAAAGCTGTAGGCGATTTTTCCATGTTGTAGTTGTTGCTTTTTGAGAAAAAAAATCATCCAATTTGCAATAAAAGAATGAGAAAAAACGTAGAATTCTTAGGTAAACTAGGAAGCTTTTATACTGAAGTTTGTAAACTTACAACGCCAGCCATATTCGTGCCACACATTCGCTGTTGCTTGCTCGTTGTAGCGCCACCGTGACATGTACATACATACATGCATACGTGTATGTACATACTTTGTATAGTATAGTGAAATGAAGTTGAATGAAAAGCGCAACGTCAGCATGAATGAAAATTGCATGAAATTGCCACATGCCACATAAGCGCGCATAACAAGCACTCATAGGTACACATACCTAAATATAAATATATAAGAGTGTACATGCATGTATGCTGTATATAAACAACGGTATATTCTTTGCTTTGCACATTCATTAAGTTCCATAATAGCTACGCCTCTGCAGCGCCATCTAGCTAGCCATATGGCTAGGCTATAGGCTTTCTAACAGCTGTTGATGTTAGTGTGGTTGTTGTTGTTACTGTTGTTGCACCTCATCAGTAACGTTTCCCTGGCTACATTGTGGCGGCTTAATTGAACTTTCTAATGGCAGGTTTTGTTACGGCGGCGCACATGTGTATATACATACCTACACATGATGGAGTAAGTGCTTTTTTCCATTTTTTTTTTTTTCAAGAGAACCTAAAGTGTTGAATAACGTTCGGTTTTTAGGGCGTTAGCAATTAGCAGAGCATATTAAGGTTGAACGTAGGGGAGTTAAAAGAGAGACTTGAAATCGTTGGAAGTGTGTGTTGGAAGTAGCTGACGATGTGGGAGCGACAAATTAATTGCTTAGAAATCTATCTTATTTTTCGTAATTACACAACAGAGAAGAACGTACTCCAGAATCAACTTATTTGCTGCAGAATAGTTAGATCATTTCTTGACAGCATACTCTAAGACCTTGTTCATAACGAACCTAAGTGAGAAAGATTCCCGACTAGTCCAGCACAGTTTTGGGGTTTGTCGTAAACGTACCAACAGCATACGGGTAGATGCAAGTGAAAATCTACTCGTTTTGATAGCAGCTAGTGGGGAATAAGGAGACCTCCCCTAAACATTATCATCAGTGAATCACTGCTGGCATTATGGCTGTGCAACTGTTTGAGCAAGACAATCTCTCATTTGTAGCAACGATCTAGGCCAGCCCTCGGTATATCCTTGAAATTACAAGGTGATGGACTAAGCTGTGTCTCGCATCAAGTAATTATCTATTATTTCTCTTATAATAAGCCATAAGTTTTGTTTGAGGAAGGGTACTCCTTCGAAACGGCTTGACTCTTTGCCATGCACAGGTTATAATCCAGATATTTGCTCTAAGAATGATGATTGGAAAAGAATTCCCAACAGCTGTGATACTTATGGTGGATTGTGGGTCAACCAAACTCTTCACAGTCCATTTTACTGTCCATTCAGTTTATAGTATTAGATTAAGTTGGCTTGTATGTGAAATGTTCAACTCAGGTTATTCGAAATAAAGTGCTCAGCTGCGCTTCCGGCAAGAATTTCCGAGGCTGAGGTTTAAGCAGAAGATTCTAAGCCCACATGGCCCTCAGATGCCACCATAACTAATTGGAACTGAACACTGAACACTTTACATTTGAGATTTAGAGACAAAATTTCAAGTCTTAAATGAACTCTTTATGCCACTACGGCCAATGCGAAGTGATTAAACGCACAAGCCGCTTTTCTGATTACCCCTAGACTAGCAGTAGCTCGTTGCCCGCAATATAAAATAAGACTAAAATGGCCTTTTAGCTTAAAAAAAGTTTTACTAAATCCTAAAGTGGTTCGAAAACGCAAACTAATAGCCGCCGCGCTTTTCTTGTTGTAATAATAAGCGAAAAGTCGATGAAATAAGGAGTTTTTTTATACATGTCTCTCTTCATGAAAGAGTGAACCGTCTACGAAGAATATATTTCTGTCATCGAGATCTCGCAACAAGACCTAGATTTTACTAAAAAAGGAAGCATTGAATATACTTAAAATCAGTTGTTTTATCTACATCTGTGAATTACCTTAACAACGTTACCAAAGCATACCTAACCTCACTCAAGCTAAGCATTTATCACTCTTCCACCTTTCTCTGCAATTTTACAGTAACTATTTATTGCGAAAACCGTGCATACCAACTACGAAATTACTGGATTCCCAGTCAATAAATTAGAAACAAAAGTTTGCATACTTGTTTTTGTTTTTTACTTTACTTTTGCAACTAGTCAACAAACGTGAGCCCGAAAACAACAACAACACAAATGTAGTGTATGGGAAGTAAGAGAAAAAAGTGGCAAGTGATGGAACAAAGCACTGTCAATAATTCTTCGTTTAATTGCAACTTTCCAACTGGAACCGACGGGATTCTTCGATAGCAGTAAAGAAAAAAAAAAAAAGAAAAAAACAAGGGACAAAATAAAGGAGATGTAGCAAAGGACTCTCGATGCCGTGGTAAAGCAGCGCATATGCAATAAAGATGCATGCAACGTACGAACTATGCTCTCAAGCCTCAGTCGGTGGCTGTTGGCAGCTGTGTTGCAAACGTTGAGTTCGATTGTCAACAATGCTTGAGGCCTGAAGCGGTGAGTAACATAAAAAAAGCACATTCAATCGTTACTATCAGCATTTTGCGTCGATTTTTCTTACTTTTTCCTGCTGTCTCTTTTCGTTTTGTGCTTGAAATTGTCGTCTGAAGTGTTGGTCGGTTGTGCTGTATCACAGTTACATCTTCAGCGGTGGCAAATGATGCTTATAGTAGATG